AAAAAACGGTCTTGCCGATATTTCATGAAGTTACACAAACATAAATAAACTATGTGTCTAACCTCAAAATTTTTTATGAAATTTGAGAAGTTCCATGACTCAAATTAAAAATTATGCATAAATGCCGTTTACAGCTTTCGAAAGACTGAATCTTTACCTTTAATTTGCTTTTTTGTTGAGCTCTGTATGATTTTTTTTCACCGAGTTATTCAACGTTGAAACAAAAAAGTCATTTTTACTTCAACGTTGAATAACTCGGTGAAAAAATATCGTACAGAGGTCAGTAAAAAAGCAAATTAAAGGTAAAGATTCAGTCTTTCGAAAGCTGTAAACGGCATTTATGCATAATTTTTAATTTGAGTCATGGAACTTCTCAAATTTCATAAAAAATTTTGAGGTTAGACACATAGTTTATTTATGTTTGTGTAACTTCATGAAATATCGGCAAGACCGTTTTTTGAAGTATCGGTCGAAAAGGTAGGGATTTCAAGCTTTAAAATGCTTTTTTAATCATCTCGATACGATGATTTTTGACGAAGTTATTTTATCTTTAAATTCGCAATTTTTTAACTCCCCTTAATTTCGTGTTAGGGCGTGTACAATGTATGCGTGTATCCTGCTCTTGGCATTACCTAGGATCAACGACATGGACGTGGCAGGTATCTGATCCCATGTGTATGTGTGTGTGCGTGCGTGCGTGTGGGCGTGTGTGCGCGCGTGCGCGCGCGTGTGTGTGTGTAATAACGTGTATTGCCTCCTCTCGCATTTCTTAATTCACGTATACGTTGAGGCATACTGTTGACCAATCTTCTTATTTCTTTTTGTTTTAAATTACGCCATTCCTCCTGTAAGGCGTTTCGGAGTGCTGCTAACGTTTGACAATTATGTCTCCTCACTTTCCGCTTCAAAATGTCCCATAAATGTTCTATGGGATTCATATCTGGGCTCATGGCAGGCCACACTATTCGCTGTATGTTGACTTCATTTAAAAAATTGGTCACTGTTCGTGCTA